CTTTTGCCAGTTGATTTGTTTACAACTTATTTTCTTTTTGGCTGAGTTTCGGTTTCTTGCCTCTGTCTCTGTCTCTGTCTCTACCTCTTCTTCTTCTTCTGATTGTGCGCAAAAAAAAGAAGCAAAATTTAATGAAAATAGAAACTGAAATGGAAAACAAAACAAAGGGAAATGCGTCAGTCGCATGGGGGAGATTACTTTTCCTTTTGGGGGGAAATCATGATTGATGGACTGATTGATTGGTAATTATCGATAGGTGTGTTAACACCTACATAGTTCCTAAACAGTTTATCTATTAATTCCATCTATTATCTTTCGCTACTGTCACTGTCAACTGTCTCTTTGCTCTTACTCTCTTTGCTGTAGAAGCTTTGGGTTACCAGTGAAATTCGTTTAAACTTTAAAGCCTCAAAACACCGAAAAGAAGAATAAGTTGCCTCGGAGTTGCATCTTTAGTAATCCTCTTGCATTTTTTTGCAATGGCAGTTGTAACAGTTGTTTTGACAGCTTATCTTACTCAAACATAAAACCCTTTTGGCAAGAGTATAGTCATAAAAGCCAAGCGAATCGAATTTACAGACACAGACCCTAAGAGTAATAGACCCATTAGCAACGAGTGAGTGTCCGTCCCGTACGAGTCCAAGTGTCGAGTGTCGCCTGGCCATAATTAATGTCAGGCAATCAATTACACACAGGCATATACATAGTCATAGAGCCAGAGTCAAAGCCATAGCCATAGCCATAGCCCAAGTCTCCCAACAACAAAAACAACAACAACACATTGATTATGCAGAAATGTGCAAAATGTAAAAAATGATTACAGACACATATCTAAAGTTGTTTGTTTTATGATTGTGTAAGGTCTGTCTGCCTGCCAGACAGGCCTGAGGGGGGTGGGGTGTGATGTGATCGGCATGTGTTTGGGGCTAGGGGCTACATACATACGTTCATATATTCATACATGTGTGCATATGTTTGTATGCACTGATATGAATTTCAATTGTTTCGGTCTCCGTCCCAGACAGATGCTCTGCCAGCAACAGCAGCAGCAGCAGCAGCAGCAGCAGTAGAAAAACAACTACAATTCTAGTGCGCAACTTTTTAATGATAGCAAAAATAGTTACATATATATTTAACAGCCACTGTTAACAGTTAACCGCTGCCGGCAAAGTGAGAGCACACTGTTTAGCCTAAAAGCAGCTGGCCGCCACGTGTGGGGCGGTTGGGGATTTCCTGTGGGAGAGCGATGTTCTGACAACATTTCCAGAGTGTGATATAATCGTTTATTAACGTATCTAAATATATTACCCTGAGAAGAAGCACTTGAAACCAGTATAACGAGTAACTCTTTAAAATAAAATTAAAAATAAATAAAAGCTGCGTATACTACTCGTTCTGTAATAAATTAAATCCCAAGACCAAATTCTGAAAGAAGATGCGGCACGTGGGCACGGAAATGCAATACCCTACTACTTATTCTAGAGCCAAGATCTGTCATAGTTTAATAATGTTAGAGCCCTCAAATAAACTCTCGTTAAGCTGATATGAATCACTAAGAGCAGTTTACTTGAGACAGACAAAGAGATAGACAATTAATTGTGTCGGGTGTGTGCATGCCGAATATCAGGCACGTCCCCACAGCACTTGTTGACAGTTTGACAGCGAATCCGACAGTTTAGACAATTTGCCACTGATGCTCTCTGGGCAGTGCCCCAGGCACATGCATGCCACATACTCCTATATTATTCAAGTGGCGCGCTTCGAATGCGATTCCATGCAATTTATATACCTATTGATTTCCGATATTCCGACAGCGTGCGGTTGTCGTTACGTGCTTTTCGTCGCGTTACCCTCTGACAGAGTCTCTCTCACTCTCTCTCTCTCGCTGAGATCGGCACAAGTTGTATTTATTAATATTTTTTTTTGTTTTTTCTGATTCGGCGGTGGGTTATTTTGTTTATGTGAATTCAATTAATCAACTTGGGGGGAAGGGATACATCAAAAATATATTCATATGTCAATAAGGGGCGTAAATGGGTATTTAATTAGTCCGTGTAACGTTAGGTGGCGCCACAGCATAATTGGCAGCCACTTTGTTGGCATTTAATTTCAATTAACAGCAAATTCCAATTCGAACCCACTGTGTCGTCTGTCTTTCGTCTCTTTATCTTTGTTTATCTATCACTCACTCTCTCTGTCTCTCTCTCGCTGCCTCGCTCTCCTGCTGCATTTACAGTTAATTAAGCAAGCTGAGATGAGAGATAGAGGCCAGCTAAATGCCAGGACCGAAGCGTATGATACCCTATACTGGTGGTGTGATCGATTTTGATCAAAATACACTTAAATATAAAGAAAGAAAGAAAGACGAACCAACACGATCCTCCTCTCCCGATACTGCGCTACTGTCTCTCTCTCTCTCCTCTCCTGGTATCTTTGTGCCACGTAGTGAAGTATCTAGGCACTCTCTAGCCATCGCAATCCCCATCTCTCATGTCGTTTGTGCAGTAAAAATAGATTTTTTGCGCTGCAAACATCTCAACAAAATCATAATACCCTCTCCAAGGGGGGTGGGCAATCAAAGAGAGCCTACGTGTGCTGCAACAGAACAATTGCTAACAGAAGAGTCAATGACATTTTGCAAATTGCAAAATAGACAGAGAGAGAGAGAAAGAGTGAGAGTGAGAGGCGGGAGCGGAAGAGGCCCTAGAAAATGTTTTAGCCGCCTTCTGCAAATATGCATGGATCGAATGGGATGGGGATGGGGTGGATGTGTGGGGCGGTATCGCCATCTGGGAGGGAGGGCATGCCTGTAGTATATAGTGCTCAACATTTTACAGCTCTGACGACGGCGAACGATAATGTGGGCTCGATGGGGCTATTGCCAGAGTCAAGAACAGGAATAACAGTCATAAAAACTGTAAATGAGGCAGAGAAAAAAAACCCTACAATGAATGAAATAGGTTCAATGGAATATTCTACATACCCTGCAAGCACTCGATGGAAGATCCATCAGCAGACGCCAGTTTTGTGCTTCCAATATTTTCTTTTGTAATTAAAAGATCAATCGGAGGGCAATCACATCACAATCTTATCTGTTCCTTTATCGTATATACTTATCGTGTAGTACATGTATGTGTATGTACCTCCCAAGTGCTCACGTACAGGGTATTCAGCATAGCAGAGAGACTCATTCCACAACAAGAACCGTCGTAAAATAGCGCGACTCGTCGCGACTCTGAGCTAATAAGCCCCCGGAGCCCCATAAATATATTTATGCGTTTGATAGCAGAAAAACAGAAAAACACCCAACACCCACTTGACAATAAAATAATGCATTTGCATTGTCATTTGTTGTGGTGTGTTTTGTTGTTGTTGTTGGTTGGTTTATTCTAGACAATTATTGTCAGGGCCTGTAGGAGGAGACGATGGAGGAGAAAGAGGTGGAGCAGTACGATTAGATATTACAGCAGAGAGGAGAGGGTAAACAATAAACATTCAAGGGATGTGCAGACACTGGACACTGCAGCAACTACACACCAATGTCGCTTGTTTATGCATTCAATTTCACCTAATGACGATGATGTGGATGGGATGATGATGATGGAAATGATTGGTTCCATTTCGCCCCGCCCCCACCGATGGCGGACCTGAATGGCAACATTGTCATTTGATTTGTGCCGACGTTTGCATTTTATAACTTAATTCAATTTAATTCTGTTACGCTGCTCGAACCTCCGCTGGTTTGGGTTCTCTCTTCTGTTTCACTGAATTCAAGTATCAAATTTAGACGAAACACGTCTATAAAGAGTGTTCATTCTCTGTCCGAGAAGTTCCAGTCAGCTGTCCAACACGTGCGCGAAGTATTCAAATGGGATTGTGGGGGAAGCAAAAACAACAGTGATAGGATGGGGACAGGGTGTATATACGCATTGGAGAAATGTTAAATGGAATACGAAATATGTATTTTCAGTTTTATCGGTGGGATTGGAAGGTATATTTCTGCTCTTTTTTATTTGGTTGCCATTTGTTGGGGTCACCATTCGTTGTATTACTTTTACTTCATGCAGATATTTTCTTTGTGGGAATAAACTCTCTTGCTTAGATCACAATTCCGTAGTTTAGTGGGTTATTGAATTGATTCTGTGTATATTTGGTCCAAGCGGAATTTATGTACTTACGTTGGTCGGGGTCACCATTTGTTGTGTAACTGTTATTATATTGATAGGAGTCCATACTCCATTTGTGCTTATTAAGTTATAGATTCGATGTAGATCTGCTATCTATGGATACGTTTTGTGTCGACTCTTCCGTTGATGCTTCAAGAAGCAATTGGAGACATCCTGTGCCTGCCTTCCAACTACAAGTTTCTATTGCTATCAATTGTAATATCTGTGTATGGTTTGGAGGGAGGAACATGCTAACAACAATTCTGCACATCAGAATGACTGAGAATATCGAATACAAGTAGTCTGTGGGTAGTCTGTTTTTGGTGTTGGGGGATATGTATGTCGTGGGGGTGGGGGGAGAGACTCACAGCAGAGGGTGTCGGAGGGTAGTGACAACATTTTGCCATTGCACTAATTGTTTGCTGTTTACTTGTTCCATCTGCTCCAACTGCTCCAACTTTGTTCTGTTCGATGATAAGCCCTTGACTTGACTCTCTTCCACTGGGAACATAATTGACAAATTTGCACTTGAACTACTGTGTGAAGGGTTGCGGAGGGGGGGCTGAAGGCTGGAAGGCTGGTGTCTGTCTGGTGCCAATCCAATAAAAAAAATAACACAGAGAGAAAGAGTTATTGGTATTCTTGGAGGAGTGGCAGCAGATAGATAATGGCCTGGCTTGCAGCATTGGGGAATGAATGGGGAAAGTGGCAAGTGGTATGGCATGGCCTCTTATCAGGCATTGACCGACCGACGGCCAGTCTTATCAACTGATAGACTCACCTGAATAAATGAATAATCTCTGGATACCCCTCTCTGTTGCCCGTTCTGTACAGGCCATTGGACCCATTCCAGACCTCACCGTGAACGTGATCAATCAGCGCGAACTGCTCTACGGCCTCACGCTCGATGCGGTCGGAGAGAGCTGGCAGCTGAGTATCTGCATCAACTGCAAGGATGTGCTGTGCGCCAAGCGCCTCACTGCCGGAGCGGGAGCCCCGCCCACCCAATACCTCATCAACAGCACGCTGCTGAACAACGGCGAGGAGCTTGCCCAGCGACGCGGCCTCAAGTCCTATTCGGAGACATTCAATCTGCTGATCATGGACCACACCGACAACAGCGGGGCCCTCTCCCCGCCACCAACCGGCACGGGCATGGTCGACTCATCATCGAGCCTAAGCATTGGCTCGCTGGCGGTCAATCCCCAGGACACAAAGGGGCAGCGACTGCGACAGCTGCTGGCCGACAAGCAGGCACAACTGCAGGAGGAGATCAAAAAGACAGAAGAGCGCATCGAGCGGTACACGTCCACGGAGTACGAGCTGCTGAAGAGCTTCCGGGAGAAGGCGGATCAAGACTGCGCCCAGCTGATGCACCACATACGGCTGGTGCCGGAGCATGTGGCCGAGCTTCTCGACAGGGGCATGACCCCCGCCCTGGAGGTGACTGGGAATTGGCTGAACAGTGCACCCGGTGCCAGGCGTCGCAACACGATAAGCAGCCGTCGGGAGCTGAGCAACCCCACCACGCCCACCACCACCCTCAACCATCCCCCCAGCTTCCTGGCGTTGAACCAGCCGCTCCAACAGCAGCAGCAGCAACCCTCACAGCCAACGCAGCCCCAGCTGCAGCCATTATCCAGTACCGCCTCCGCGATGGCCAATGCCAGATTGAGGAAGATGTCCAACTTTGATACGCCGCCCGCCACTCCAGAAGCCACGCCGATGAGCGTCGGCAACAGTCCCACCTTCAGACAGCAGCAACAGCAGCAGTCTTCGGTGGCAACTGCCCCGCACCTGCTTACCACACACGGCGGAGGAGTTACCGCAAACGGGGCAGACGATGCCGATGACTGCCTGTTCGACCTGGAGGACGTGGAGGAGTATACCGCTCCGCAGCCAGTGCCATCGTCCACCGGTTATCAACACAACGTGATGTACCAGCGGGTGCACAGCATCCAGCCACTGCAGAACGGGATGGTCGATGATCTGGACGAGGCGGACACAGCCGATGAGGCGGAGGGTGAGTAAACAGCAGCAGAAACGGCAGAAGCAGCAGGGACTGAATGGTTGTCTCTCCTTTTCCCTCCTTCCCTTAGATGCCCTGGATCTGGATAGCTCCATTTCCATACCCGCGGGACGGGGTGGCCGTCCGATGTCGGCTCAGCTGATGAACTTTGCCAGGAGTCTGCCCATCGAGATGCCCAACTCGACGCTCGCGGAGCGGGTAGCAGTCGCCAACAACAACAACAACAATAACTTTGCATTGGGCTGCGAGGAGGTGAGAAAAGAGATAAAGATAGAGATAGAGAGAGAGGGATAGAAGAGAGAAGGGAGTGTATATTAATCAAATTTGTAATCCTTTGACAGGGTCTGGACAACATCGATATAGCGGCCAGCATTCAGGCGCTGACCAAGAGCGTCCATGGAGAGGCTGTGTTCGGGGACCTGCCGCGTCCCCGACTGCGCTCCCAGATCGAGGGCTAGCGCTGGCAGGAGGCGCCGCCACAGGGATCAACGGGGAGAGGGAGATGACGAGTCGAGAACCACCACTACGTACACATACTTATATATATATATATCAGTTCGTAATCCGCATAAACCCACACACACACACACACACACGCATACAAACATCCTCGGATTGGATCCAAGGGGGAGCAGGACCACAACGAAACATAGACGATAATAAAACCCAATAAATGCCATCTTGGAGGAGGCATCTGATCTGCCTGCCACCTACCATCTACAGAGTACCAATTAGGCAGTACATCCTTGGATGCTGCACCACACCCACAACCCACAACCCACTTCCACCCCTTCCTTCTTTTTGACATGTTATATTTCCTCTAAGTTCTTTTTTCATTATTTCGCGATGATCTTCGAATGAAAAGTGTGTTTTTTCTTCGAACGACAAGTGCAAGTGCGCGCAGGCATCCCATCGGGTGCCGCCGCTGCACATTGAGTTGTCTAACTGATACTGATACAATGGTTAACTGATGATGATTATTGATGATGATGTTGTTAGTTTATACAATGAATAATCTAGTATACATATACTTACATATATATCTATATATTATATTATACTATAACATACAGAAAACTATAAAGAAGCGCCAGCAGCAAGACCGACCAAGTGTCTAAACTTAGTTCAAATGTTGGTTTTATTTCAAGGGATGTTATACCACGCCTAAAGCTTAATTGGAAATATTATATATAATATATTTATTATCATTATTTGAGAAGTTCCACCATTTATTTCTCTAAAAACGAGTCCTTTAATTTTCCCATTAGCGAAGGGAGTTTTAAATTTCAATTATTTCGCGATATTTTACGATAGAATCCCTCAAAGATATCGATGTTTAAAATATACACATATCGATGTTGAGTAAAAATTTAAAAGTGCCATAACTAATTTCTGCCAGTCACGTGTGAACGTGGAATTTAAATTTTCAAATGTAGCTGGAATATATCCCGATTTAGAGCCATAGATGTAGTATAAAAGTGAACGACAATTCGTAAATTCCTTAACAAAATACTTTGTTTTGTGGTTTATATGCAGGTCGAAGGCTAGAATTACAATTGATAAACCTCGTAACATAACTAGAAATAGAAATAGAACTAACGACTAAACTTTACAACTTTTGTCTGGATTATCGTATCTAGAAGACGCCAGAGAGGCGTTCGATCTCCAGCAGATCGGAGAGAATCTCCTCGGTCCGCGTGCCAATCTTCTTGGCCACCTCATTGCGATCGGAGTTGGGTAGCAGGCGATAGGACCAGATAAGGTCTCCATCGATGATGCAGCGCGAGGGGTTGAGTCCCTGCTTTTTGAACGACTTTAGGGTGCGGAACTCCTTGGGATTGAGGCCGCACAGGTGGTCCTGGTACGAGAGCAGGACGTTCTGCAGCATAAGGAAGCGGCGGTAGACCTTCTCCGGCAGCGGCAGGCAGTAGCCAAGACCCCCATCCAGGGTGCCATAGACGACAAAGTGTTTGTTCTCGTAGAGGAAGGGCTGTCGCTGGTGCACGCCCCGCTGATGGCATTGCACCCGGAACATGGTGTTCACCACCTGACCCAGATGGTAGTCCGCCTTGCGGATGAGCTTCTGGCCGCCGAGCGATTCCCTGGCCTCCGGCTGGTACATGTAAACAATCAGATTGCGCTCTGCGTCCGTCACCAGGAAGCCCAGATTGCTGTTGTCCACCATGAACTCGATGCCGTACACCTCGAGGGGATTGAAGTCGCGCGAGGCCAGCGAGAGGGTGCGATGCTCCTCCTGGAAGCGCAGCAAACTGATAGACTTGTACACGTCCGCTATGAAGATCAGCGACTTGACGGTGATGATCTGATGGACGTAGATGTTGGTGTCGATGAAGGCGACGCCGATGAGATCGCCGTCGCGCAGCTGCCAGATGTAGATCTTCTGGCCCAGGCCGGTCACCAGGAAGCCCAGCACATCCGATATGGCCGAGACGGGGCCCTTCTGCTCCTTCTTGAAGACCTCCTTGAGCTTGAATTTGGTCATGGGCTTGCCCGGCTCGGGCACCACCTCGATGATGTCGTAGATGTGGATGTTGCCGCGGCTGGTGATGTCCTCGCTGTAGTTGAAGTTGGTGCCGATGCACAGGTACTCCTTGAGACCCGATCGCGTGCCCTCGTACGACAGCTTCACGATCTTGAAGGCGGTCACATGCTCCCACGGCTCGAATTGGATGGAGGCGTCCGGCACAATCTCCCACGTCTCGGGCGAGATGAGAACCATCTCGAACTGCGAGCCATTCGGATAGATGAATCGCTCGCCGCGGCTCTCCTCGGACAGCTCCTTGTCCTCGCCATTGAAGCGGTAGTACTTGGTCATCGGCTCCTCCGTCTGCGTGATCAGGCAGTAGACACGATTCTCGCGGTGGTACACCAGCTGTCGGGGCGTGCAACGCAGTGGCACCTTGCGCACCGGCCAGACGGAGTCGTAGCTCAGGTAGCTGGGCAGCACGGAGATCTTCAGCTCGAAGGTGGTGTCAAAGTAGAGGAAGCCATTGGGTATATTCACATTGTTGAAGGCGGCGAAGCTGCGCACGTCGCCATTGCCCTGCAGGCGGTGGATGCGAAGTTCGCCGCGGGCGGTAAGGAAGGCAAAGCAGGGATTCACGCCGCAGATCATGATCCCAGCCAAGCCTCCGACGTTGGAGAAGGGCCTCAGCTTTTGCACGTACTTCGGTTGCATGTTGTATGACTCCAGCTCCTCTTGCTCCTCGTTCTCCTCGAGCTCAATGTGCGAGGGCTGCTGGTCCAAGAGATTCAGCTGCTCCAGCTTGCGGAAGCGAATCTTCAGGTTGCCCTTGGGATAGCGGAACACCTGATAGATGAGCAGCTCCACGCGGGTGCGCACCATCAGCACGGGCCGCTCTCCATTGAGCCCCAGGCCAACCAGACTCAGTTCGAGGGGCAGCGGGGAGTTGGCGTGCTGCGGCATACAGGACTGGACAATGCCCACCTTGGAGTTCTCCTGCGTGTTGGATGAGAGGGAAACGAACTCCAGGGCATCCGATAGGACCATGGCACCGTTGCCCACATCATTGATGTGGTAGACGAGCTTCATGTCCGGCATCGAGTAGATCTCCAGGGTGCCACTCTTGCGGGAGACGACCAGCCAGTAGCTGGGCTTTGCCTGCACCAGGAGGCGGCGCCACCAGTCCGAGTTCTTCTGCTTCGATTGCTGGGCGAGCACCGCCATGCTGTTGATCTTGAAGGCATTCCCAGCATCGCCGTACAGCAGGTCCTCCTCATCCTCCACCTTCATGTTGGGCTCCGCCTTCATGTAGCCCCCGAAGCTGTGGCCAAAGCCACTGCCCGTGCCCCCCGTCAGATTGAGCACATCGTCCGACTTGACCGTGAACAGACCGGACAGATCCTTGTACGCGGCAATGGCCACCACGGCGGGGGAGCTGGTGATTGTGTGTTTGTTGATGGCCAGCCGGGGAGTGCCGCGCGTCTCGCGCAGTGCCAGTGTGATCACCTGGCCGTTGAGCATGCGCAGGCAGACATAGGGATCGGCAATGGCCACCTGCACCACGGGGGAGCCCACATCGATGGGCACATTCTGGATGAGGCGAGTGCCCTGCAGCAGACGCACATGCCGCGTGGTGACCTACAAAAGGACAGCCCGAGATAAGGAGAGGATTCGAGACAGGCTGGCAGCTGGCAGCTGGCACTCACCTGAACAATGAACCGCTGCTGGCCGAGATTGCCCACAAATATGGTGGCCTGATTCACCGTGAATCCGGTGTTCTCAATCTCATTGATCTCCTGGCCGGTCTGCAGGACCAGGGTGGAGTTCCTCTGCGAGAGCAGCATGAAATCGTGCTGGTCGTGCCGCGAGGTCTTCTTTGTGGCATCATCGAACACCGTCCACACGTCCAGGCAGCCGTCCAGCTCGAAGCTGGTGATGATCTGCGGATTGATGCAGTTCACAAAGACGGAAAGGGCGCCGTTTTTACTGTGCCCCGTGGCGGCCACCAGCTCGATCTTCAGGTCGTGCAGCGACTCCGCATGCGGTCGCAGCGTGGCGCCATCCTCCTCGAACTCCACCCGCTCGCCGGCGCACATGTAATTGATGGGCGCCACATTGAGGAGGCTGTCGCAGACCTCAAAGACGAATTTGCGCAGCTGTAGGACCGAAGCTTTGGCCCCCGAGCCATACACCTGGAGGAAATACAAAATACAAAATTCGAGGGGGACTCTATAGAGATGTCCAACCATGTCCTACCTCCAGTTCCTCATCTTCGATGCGTCGGGACTTGGCTTGCGTGGGTGCCAGTTCCACTTGGTCCACATCGAAGATCTCCTCAATGTCCTGCTCCTCGGACAGTTGCACCCGCTGCTGCTGCTGTTGCTCCGCCTGCTGTTCCGCCTCCACATCCAGTGTGATGACCGTGCTCTGATCCTCCTCGGTGAAGTGCAGCAGCAGGGAATTGCCCAGCCGCGAGCCCAGGAAAATGTACTCCGAATGGCAGACACAAATGCAGCTGGTCAGGACACTGGCGGCCGCCTTGTGGAAGTGAAAGTTCCTCACAGTGCGCATTGAGTCCACGCAGAGAGTCAGCACATAGAGCTCGCCCGTGCGCAGCGATATCACTAGCTTGTCCACATCAATGAAAGCGAAATTGGCACAATCCAGGCTGATCCGCACACCATCCTGAGGCTTCAGGGGGAAACTGGTGCTGTTGTCCGCCGAACTGTTCAGGCTAACGCCATACGGCGGCACACTCTGGTTGAGGTAGATCACGGCATTCACAGTCATCACCAGGCAGCCGCCAATGGGCTTTTGGATCGGATAAACCTGAGAATTGAAGCAAGGGAGAGTTGGAGATTGATGCTATGTATTGGGCAAATGTTGGGGGATTAACGCACCTGGAAACAGTCGAATGGCAGACTATTCACTGTCCATATAATGGGATGAACGCGCTGCTGAATGTTTAGAGAGATGGCCACCAGCACGCAGGTGTCCGAGCGTACTTTGATGCGGCCCGAGCAGGTGCGCACCGGCTCGTAGAGGATCAGGAGCGTGGGCTCGTAGTAGCCGTGCAGGAACTGTATGTCCAGGACGTTGTCAATCTTCTCGTCCAGCTCTTTGAGGGTTATCAGGTAGGAGGCCATGATGGGCGTCCGCGAGACCATGGCTGTGGGTGCCTTCTTGAAGGGCTTCACGTCCGTCAGCTCGATCTCGTCCAGGCTGTTGTCCTTGCGGAAGGGCAGCACCACCAGACGTTTGCCATAGACCAGCATAACGGCACAGCGGGCGTCCGGGTCAACACGCACCACCGGCACAAAGTACCGTCCCGTCCAGCCACCCCGAATGTCCTCCTCCTCGAAGTAGTGCAGCGAGAGTGTCTTCAAGGCGTACGTGTCCGGGTCGTGCTGCAGCACCGACAGCTTCGCATCCTTGAAGCTGACCAGGAGCGCATCCTGCATGGCGCCCGCCAGGGAGACGCACTGCAGCGACATCACATTGCCGTAGAGGAAGTAGCTGGCCAGGCACTCTAGTCGCATCTTCGGGGCGGTGCGCATTTCGTTGGGGTTCAGCTTCTGGCGCTGACCCGCCTCCACATTGGGCGAGATGCGGTAGACCTTCAACATATTGGCGCCGGCCACGACGAGATTCTCCTCGAGATTGTTGAAGAACCGGCACGAGATGGCGAACTCCACCGACGTGGCGGGGTGGGTTTGCTTGCACATGGAGAACATCGCGTCGCGTTATTTTAGCAATAAACTTGGCAAATAAATTAAAACATTATTTTCCTAAACAAATTGCCGGCTGAATCAGTGTGACCGCGGATTTATTGACGGCCTGAGCCTCAGAAATATACCGAAATATGCCTTTTTCATTATTAAAATAGACCATAAATATACTGACGGACACGACAAGATGCGTTTATATTCCTCGATTTTGATATTCGCTTTAATATTACTAGCTAGTTAGACCTTCTAGCCCTAAACAAATAATTTTATCCAATTCATCAATACATTTTGTACAAGATTGGCTAGTTTTCAGAAGTCTTTTGTATTGGATTCTTTACATAATAAGGTTCAAGAAAAAACGGCCAAAGCATAAAACGTAACTGTGTACAGGAATGTGACGTCATTGTTGCTGGTCAACCAGGTTTTAGCTATGAGTATGCACATTTGTATACCCTATTGCCAATAATTAATGTTATATTTGTTGTTCTAAGCTACTTTGAACCACAAATATGGAATTTGTCTTAGATTGACATGTGTTTTTAGCCGTTGAAGCATTTGTTTTCTGTACCAATTTTTGGTACCCATAAGCTGCAAAATTTCGTGTGTGTCTTTTGGACGACGAAAGATAGATTAATTCTATATTCCGCTCGGGATGGGAAAATACTATTGGTTGCTTTACCAGTATCTATTGGCTTGTTTTTTCGAACTGGCATGAACTTTCATCGTTTCCATATGAATCCCTGGTTCGGTCGACGGAGAACTTAATTGCTTAATCGTTCAAATAATCAAATGCAAATCCCAAATCATACTGGAAGTTTTGGCACACATAAAAAATTAAGTCCGAGTTTTTGTATCGCCACCTTTTTTAACTATACCATGCGTGAAGATAGGGCTACCATCGCCAAATATTTTTGTAACCTATCGATAGGTAACAACAACCACCATCAAACTTCTCAGCCGGATTGACCGTTTATTTACGGTATAATATTTCGGTATATTTTCCAAATAAGAATGGATATTTTGGTATATTACTGAGCGTATATGCCGCGGTCACACTGCTTTCCGTACAGAGCCTAGAAAACAGTTTTTGCCGTTAAATATTTCTTATCGGTTTCATACGAATATCAACCCTGATTCTGTTCGCGAGGTGGTTTTTTCCGATCTGAGTACTGGCATTTAGCAGAGAAAAGTTAAAATAGAGCTGTCAAACGATTGATAGTTGAGCCATAGATAGTTTTGAATGTTTTGCAAAAAAATAGTCGGTACTATCGTGATAGTATCGGGCTCAAATAATTATTAATTATTTTTTTGTTAAATAGAGCGGGGTTAAGCTATTTTTTCTCGGTTTCTGAAGTTTCTGAGGTTCCAGTCACACTCGACAAAAAAAATCAAGTGAACTATTTTTATTTCCATATATATGCATCTGAAAATGACCGCCAAACTCATTTAGCGCACAAAAAATACTGACATTTTTCGCTCTTAATTCGTGGTGGGTTTTTAAAATTTGCTCTCTTTTCAGAGGTGAAGAGAGTGTTTTCGTGGTGACTTTCCCCTCATTTTCGTGGTGTGAGCAACATGTATCTTACGGGAACGTAAGATGCATTTGATTTGTATGGGACAAATTTCAGCAACATGGGGAAATGAAGTAGCAGCATTGTTGTGCAACTTTGGCACGGAATGAGCAACAAGGTACGCAGGTACCTTTTGAGAATGCATATTATGGACTTGAGATATTGTTTGTAATTTCAGGTTTCAATTAATGCAGAAACTACTCAGTCTCTGTTTTAAAGATATTAACGAAATTTTGCAGCTCCCGGGTTCCAATAATAGATATCAGAACCAGGATAAATGTATATATAAAACACAAACATGTGCATTTATAGGTAAAAAGCATGTCAATCTAGGATAAAATCATAAATATTGTTTCAATGGAGCTTGGAACAAAACATTTAACATCAATTAAAAGAAATAAGGTATACAAAAGTACATACGCATAGAAGAAACTTGGTTGACCAGCAACACTGACGTCACATTTAGTCGACATTTACGTTTTATGCTTTGGCCGTTTTTGTTTGAACCCTATTATCTAAACAATCCCATTAAAAATAGTTCTGAAAACTAGCCAATCCTTAAGAAAATTCATTGAGGAATTGGATAAAATGATCTTTTTAGGGCTGAGAGGCCCAACTATCTAGTAATATTAAACGGAATATCAAAATCAAGGAATATCAACGTTGACTGTTTTGAAAAAACAATCGATACTATCGTGATAGTATCGGGCTCAAATAATTATTAAAAAACCATTGAAACCTTTTAAGAACTTGTCCATTGTAAAAATTAGATGCCATCTGTCGATTTGTTTACAAATGTGTCTTCGTATTTTATAGCAGCCAAACCAAACATATTAAAAGCGCAATGACTGTAGCTCGATACTATCATGATAGTCGCAAAACCGTCGATAGTAGAGGCTAGCAGTAAAATATCGATACTATCGATAGTGCCCTCGATGGTTTGACAAAGTTAAAATACAAATTTGTTTAATTTGGGTTGCTAAGTCGTCGATTAGTGCGTGTTTAGTGTACAATATGTGATTAGATAATGTAAATAAATTAGTTTCATTCAATTAAAAGGCACGCAAAGGTTTTCATTGTAGCGTGCACGAAAGGGACAGAAGCTGGCCGCCAGGCCAAACACTTGCACCAGAAAGAGACCGTCATAGTCAGCTAGAAAAGAATAATTTTGTAGCTGCTTTGCTTTTGTTTGTGTGTTTTTCCCTCATTCAATATTTAATTCAGTGGCCGATTATAGCAGCGGTAGCCATACAATGTGCAATAGATAAATGACCGACTTGCGATACATGGGGAGCTAGAAAAACCCCAAAGGCTTCTTCTAATCAATGCCAAAGGAAGTAATTTTCTACGTGCTTACTGCGCGTATGTGTATGCGTGTGCCTAACCGTGTGTGCGGGTGTACGTGCGGGAGGAAAAAAAACAACTCTGCTTAACCGTTGGTTGTTGTTGGAGTTACATTCTAGTTGTTTTTGTTGTTGTTGATTTTAAGCAACGGAAGAGGAGCACAAAATATTACTGTAAAAAAAGAGACAAAATATGATGATTCGGAAGTAAATAGGAAACATCGTAGAACCGCAATCAGATTAAATACATACATATGCACACGTACAAGCGGACATACGCACACACACAGATAAACACACGAAAACATACAGATGGAAGTACATATACAAAGGGCGCAACATTAAAATTATACAGAAAGGCTCTTGCTCTGCCTTAAAATGGACAATACTGCTGGTCAGGTTAGTAGCAAACGTACCAATGCGCCCGTCCTATTCATTTTACATACACCCACATCCATGTTTGCGAGGAAATGGAAAATTTCTATTCCGCTTTGGGGTATGGTATCCTTGGCGAAGGAGGAGGGGTAGTGTACATCTCCACATTTTTCTACCGCTGGCCCTGCTTTTCCGATAATTTCTCTTCCGGTGCTGTAAATTGATTTGATTTAAATTCAATCAAGGGCAAACCGACAGCCCTTTCTGCATGTCAGCTGTTGCCGACGCAGCACAGATGGATGGATGGAAACCAAACCCCCGATACCCGACACTGACTTGTTCCCTTGCTCAATTTATTTCTCAGTATGTGCGGAAGAAACTGGCCTGATGGGACATGGACATAGAATAGAAACCAAACCCACTGTGAAGATTTGACTGTAAATAGTTTCGAGTAAGCAATGAAAACCATTACGCCGGACACGACGACAACGTCGCAGCAGCTGCACCTGCAGCAGCAGCAGCAACAACTTCTCATTCCACAAGCAGAACTGCAGATGCAACACCAGCAAACGATTTGTGCGCCGCCCCTGATGATGGAAGCCACGGCGCATGTGAATCTCGTGGACGATGATGAAAAGGATCCACTGGCACTGGAGCACACGGAGGTGGTGTCGCCAACTACCAAGCACTCGCACAGTCTGAGGTCAGTACTCATTTTGATTTTGAAATCAAAACCAAATATACTGATATATTCCTTTCCTGCCCTAGACGCCACCTGCCACGCATGATCGTGAAACCCATACCACCTGAGAAAAAGGCCATGGCGCCAAGTGAAGACCCGCTGACGGGGGCATTGCCAGGACTGCCATCGCTGGCACCGCATTCTGCCACCAACTCAGCTGCTCCTCCCGCACGCATGTTCAGCAGTCGGCGCATCCAACAACAGCAGCAGGCAAAGGCAGCAGCAGCAGCGGCTGCGGCCGCCGAAGCGGCAGCAGCTGAAGCAGCCGCTCAGGCCAATGCGGGCCAGCCATCCAGCACGTCGCCGGGCAGCAAAGGTGCGGCCTCCTCCTCGCAGGCCTCAACAATGCGCGAGGTGCTGGCCTCTATACCCGGATTCAGCGTAAAGCCGCGACGTCGCAGCAACAAGAAGCTGACAACAGCAGCGCAAATCGAGCAAACGAAGGACGGAAAAATCGATCTGGAGACCCCGGACTCCATATTGGCATCCACCAATCTGAGGGCGCTGCTGAACAAGCAGACGTTCTCTCTGCTCCCCCCGCTATATCAATACAATCTCATTCAGCTGCTGCCCAGCGTCGATCGTGAGGCCAGCGTGGTGGAGCCGCAATCAATGCCACCGCTTGGGCCAGATCAGCCGAGCAGTAGTGGCGCCAGTGGCAGTGGGAGCTCCTCCTCTGAGGCCATTCGACTAACTGCGTCGTGTCTGAACAATGAATTCTTTGCCCGCGCCTGTCTGGAGTGGCGGGAGCGACTGAGCGAAGGAGAATTCACGCCGGAGAATCAGCTGAAGCTTAAGACGGAGGCAGAGCGCGAGAAGAACAAGCTTGATCCGTGGAAACTGAAGCATTTTGAGCCCTATTGGGGGGAGAAGAATGCCAGGAATGGCCCAGGTGTGCCTGCCACCGCTGGCAAGCTGAAGCTGGAGATCGACAAGGAGAAGCATCGGACGACAACCATTAAGAGTGAGCCCAAACCACCAGCGACAACGCAACAACCACAGCAACAGCAGCAGCAACAAGCAACATGTGATAATGAGACTGAATTGAAATTTGATTTGGTAAGCAGGGATACCCTTTTTGTGCTTTGAACTGTATTCTAACCTTTCCACTCTTTCAGAGCACAAAGTGCGAAACGACAGCAGCAGCAGCCGCAAGAACAACAACAACCACAACAACAACACCCCCTGAGACTTGCAGTCAGAATAGCTTAGTAGTGACGGAGCAACAACGTCGCATCCTCAAACGTCCGTCGAGCAGCCCATCGCGTCGCAAGCCGACACCAACAATAATACTCGAGGACGACGATGATGATCCCATTGAGCTGCAGCTGCTGCCGAGCACATCCAAGGAGAGCAAACAGATGAAAATTGAAGCTCCGTTTGTTCCTTATTCGTCGTCAGGGAATGCTGTTGTTGCCACTGCACCGCTGCCGTTGCCGCTGCCGCCGCAGCCGCCGCCGCCCACCCTCAATCGAGATGTTGTAGATCATGCCACAACGGTGATAACTGCAACAATCAATGAGGAGCGACAACAACAGCCACTTATCAACAGTACCTGTGATAAAATCGAGCCATCCGAAGAGTGCAATGAAGAGTTCGTTTCCATTGATCAGGCGGATATGGTGGAGCTAGAGGCCGCAAATTTGGCTGTAATGGCAGCCACAGCGGCAATCACGCCGCCAACCAATCCCGAGGCGGAGGTAAATGATTTTGTAAGCTATTTGGAGAGCGTGGAGCTAGTTACCAAAGGGCCATTGGATGCATCTAATGAGGCAGATCCCACAACGGCAGCAGCAGCAGCAGCAACAGGAGTCAGTCATGATTTCGTATTTGCAGATACCATCGATCATGGTGAGACATCTTTGATTACTGTTCAACCTATTCCAAGGGTTTGCCGCCCGCCCCATCACCGTATTCCCCACGACTAACGCTTTTCCTTTGTGTTCGTTCATGTCCAGCATATTTCCACAACCATCATACAGACATCAATCACACTTACTACACATCATCGTCATCGTCCAACAGTAATACATAATGCCACCATATCCTTTAACGAACAGAAACTGAATTGATTCCCCTCTTTTCTTTGCATTCACAGTGGCGCATTCGGCAATCAACAAACTGGAGGAGGAGCAGCACTGCATTAAGCTGGATGACTCGCCCATTTCTTCAGCGGCCATACCCAGCTCCATTTGTAGCTCGACTCCACCCAGCTCGATCACGTCCACCAGCTTTACATCCTCCTCATCCGCTTCACTGTCATCGTCGTGCTCGAGCAGCAATTCCAGCTCCATGCCGGCCACTATAACGGCGCCCACAACCACCTCTTCATCATCGTCGACAACAGCAGCAGCATCAGCAGCAGGAGCAGGAGCCCCACTGTCGCTGGCTTCAGCGGCCGAGTCAACACTGGCCGATGTCCAGGCTATGCTCTCCTCGGTGGTCACGTTGCAACAGCAGCAGCAGCAGCAACAGCAACAGCCGTCTGTGGAGTTGAACTCGAGCGAGATGTATCAGCATGTTCAGCACGATTGGAACTTTGGTGACATTAAGCTGATGTCAGCAACGCCCCCAAGAAGCTCCCAAGCAGCGAGGGAGCACCAGCATCAGCAGCAGCAGCAGCAGCAACTGAACCATGAGGCTATCAATCTGATGGATGTCGTCAAAGAAGAAGAGGTCATCGATGACAATATGCTGGACAGCGATGCGTGTCAGGAGTTCCTCGACGAGGAAGATGAATTGGAGGAGGAGGACGACGATCTTGTTGAGTGCATTGACGAGGAGCAGCAGGAACAGCAGATGATGGATGACATGAATGACGAGGATAGTGATGCAGTGCGGGAAATAGTGGACAAACTGCAGCAGCATCAAGAGCAACAGCAGCAACAACAGCAACAACAGCAGCAGCACCAGCGGCAGCATGTGCATATCCAGGATGTAGTTCATTTGCCTCAGCATTCGTTCTTGCCACAGGCCCACAACGAGTACGGGAATGAGGTGACTTGCAGGATAAGGTTTATAGAATAATTGCAAAAATATCATACCTTTTTTTTTTGTCTCCAGATTACGCAGGAGATTCTATGCGACGCCGTGCCCATGTCGGCTGCCGAAATGGAGGTGTCCAGCACCGTGATCACCAACAGCAGCAACAGCAACGACAGCAGCAACACTCTGAGTCACAATCAGCCGCCGCAACCACAGCAGAATTCTCCAGCGGCTGCGCCACAGCAACGTCAGATTCTGGTTGATTCCAACGGTCAGATTATTGGCAACTTTCTGCTGCAACAGCAGCAGCAACGTCAACAGCAGCAGCAGCATCAACAGCAGCAGCAGCTTCTTCAGCATTTCACACTGCAAGCAGCAGCCGCACAGCAGCAGCAGCAACAGCAGGCGACGAGTAGCAATTCGTTGACCAAAACTTTGCCAGTAACGCTACGCAATGGAACCCAACAGTTTTTGTCGCCCAACTTGCTCGCCCAGCAGCAACTGGAGCAGCAGCAGCAGGCAGTGCAACAGAAGCAACAGCTGCAGCAATTCGCCCTGCAACAGGCACAGCTGCATCAGCGGCAACTGTTGGCTCAGGCTGCCAACAATAATCTGCTCCAACAGCAGCAGCAACAACAGCAGCAGCAGCAGCACCAGACTGTTGTCCCAGCAGCAGCACAGGCTAAATTTATAGCCAAGCCATTGAATATAATATCCATGACGCGGCCCGCCGCCAATGCATCGCCCACCACGGCAGCAACAACAGCACACACCACAACAATTCCGTCCGCCTACGCTAATGTTGTTGCCGTAACAGCCGCCCCACAGCCACAGCCACCACCGCCGCCATCAATAGCAACAGCAGTAGCAGCAGCCGTGCCCCAACAATTGCCGCAGCCGCAGCCCCAGCCGCAGCAGCAGCTCTCCAATCACAATAGCAATATGCAACAGCTACCGGCCTTGCCTAGCGTTCTAACGATGAAAACTCTGCCTCCCTCGGGTGTGCCGACGACCATTGCCCAACAGCGATTGCAACCGAAGATGCCGACGGGCAAGGGACGCAAGGCCACCAGCAATAGGCTGCCTCCAGGCGCCGTTAATCTCGAGCGGAGCTATCAAATCTGCCAGGCCGTCATACAGAATAGTCCAAATCGTGAGAATCTGAAGGCTCAGCTGCGTCCCCCCGCGGCCATACTCAACCAGCAGCCACAGGCACAGGCACAGCCCCAGCCCCAGCCCCAGCCAACGGCAGCGACCACAACGGCAATACCTGTGAGCAGTCCCCTGAATGTGTCGAATGTATCCACTGTGGCTGCCACACCCATGTCGAACATGACGGCGGTTAGCGCGAATGTGGTCGCCGCACCAGCGGCTGCAGCACCCATCCAGAATATGCTGAAGCCGGAGGAGCTGCTGGTTGGAGGAGCCGCTGCCGCTGGAGCCCTGCCCGCCGGCCTGCCTCCTAATTTGATGGGCGTTGGACGTCCGGGAGTGTACAAGGTGAGGTTTTGCTTATAATTCCTTTTGGCAAAATTCTTTAATCAACAATTTGCGTTATCTGCAGGTCATTGGTCCTCGCATGAGCGGTTTTCCGCGGAAAAAGTATGTGCAGAGGAAACCTTCACCCACCACATTGATAAGGCATGTGTTTAGTCCAGGCTCTGGAGCAGCCAATGCCACGCCCCAACAGCTTCAGATACTCCAGCAGCAGCAGCAACAGCAGGCGGTGACGTTGCCAGTGGCACAAACCCAGCCACAGCCACCGGCGGCACCAGAGCAATTGATCCATCAGAACGGCAGTGGCCAGTATGTGCTGGTGCATCGCGCCACTGTGGGCGCGGCCGACAATCAGGCGCCCAGAGCGTCCAGTGCACCGCCACTGCATCAGAATCAGGTAAGTGATTGGCATTGATCGTCAGAATTGGGTCTCTTATGGATATATTATTATGTATTGGCAGTTCGTCACCGTTCAGAATCCACTGCACAGCATGAATGGCCTGCCGATGGGCGGACGCGGGCGTCCCGCTTCGGTGGATAATACAGCGGGCAGCGGCAACGTTATGGCGCCAGCAATAGGTGCCACCGAGGTCCTGCACCATCACCATCATAATCATAATCACAATCACAATCACGAGCTGCAACATCAGCATCAGCCGCAGCAGCAGCAACAGCAGCAACAGCATCATCAGCAGATGGGAAATGTTGGCAATGTGGGCGCCGCCGCGAATATTGTGCGGCGCAATATCGCTGCAGGTAAATTGGTGTATTATTAGTGGTTAGCGAGGTACGTCTTTCAAATCACCTTCATCCATCCTTCAATCTTGAATGGGTTCAATCATGAAACCATGAATAATTGGCACGCAGTCATTAGTTTGTTGCGTAGATTTGTTAGAGTTACTCCGTACCCTAGGACCCAGCCACAGGTTGGTTCTGTCGTTGGTTATGTTTTTTGATTGTATGGATAGAGATCACTTGCATGTTTCATCAGGGGTTCTCGTTCATTCAGCTGTGCTGTGAACTCCCCCGTAAACTTGTTTATATTTTTATAGAATTTTTAATTTATTAATTAGTAAGTATGTAATCGACATGCGAATCAGTGGAATTTGCTTCAGTGTTTCATATATCGATATTCCTTTTCTTGATAGGCTCCAACATCACCTACATCGATGGCAGCAATAGCAATTCAACAGCCGCCGCACTCATGGAAGCAGCCGGCAACAACTACATTGTGACCACAACTGCAGCACCATCCCCAGCCACACCAACAGTCATACAGCAGCAGCCACCGCCGCAACAGTCGCAACAGCAACAGCAACAGGCAGTGCATCCACTTCTGCAGCTGCGCCAAAGTGGGGAGAACACACCGCCGGGCAGCGAGGCCGCAACTGCAACAGCTAACAACTGCGCCTGCTCGCTGAACGCAATGGTTATTTGCCAGCAGTGCGGAGCCTTCTGTCACGACGACTGCATCGGTGCGGCCAAGCTGTGCGTGTCCTGTGTGATCAGATGAGAGCCGGACCTACTGCCCAAGGCCCAATTGGACAACGTATTATAGTAATATAGAGACTCCCTCCCCCATAGACATCTAGATTCAATGGCTATATACATATGAGTATGTATCGCCCCCATAGACAGACACCGATTATGATCTTGCGATTGATTTGTGAGGCAAAAGCATAAAGTAAAACCACACCACACGATAGCGCAAGTGCAGAGGCTTACGCACAGCAGAAGCAACACCAGTCCTGTTCACAGGCACACACACAGTCCCAGGCCCAGGTGCACACCCCAAGCTAAGGCAACAGATAGATATATAAATAAAAATATATATATGGATGTGTATATTTTAGATCGTTCAAAGACCCATTGTAAGCTAAGTAATCTTTCAGTTCTTTACACTTTTTGTATAAAGCCAAAAAGGGGAGGAGGAGTTGGAGGTTGAATAGGAAGGAAGAATGCCTAAAGGGCAAACAAACGAGTGTTGTGTATTTTGTGCTTGTTGCATATCCCTAAAGATACTCGTTGTTTTTGTGATTGTTTAAGGATATCTCAAGCACACTAAAAAAAAAAAAACAAAAACAAAAAATCAATAAACTCTCAGTGTAAAGCAAACATAAAAAAACATTAAGAAAAATAAAAAGGAAGAACAAGAAGGATAACATAAAAACAAAAGGCAAAAGGCAAACGTAAAGCATAAAAAACAGATTAGATTATATGTAATGTACATATTTATGTTTAAATGTATTATTAAATGTACCATATGGATAGAAATCTGGGGCTGGCATAATCCCTATGGATTAATCCCTCCCCTATGATGACTATATTTTTATAATTTATTCGCACATGTGCGAAGTTCGGTTGGTTCGTTCTATGAATATAAGAACATCATATTGATATATGCATATATGCTATATATATATATATATATATTTTTACTGTGTAATTTATAAACTAATCGGAGTGTATATCGTCTAGGCCCAGCGCCTAGCTCTTAAGTTATAATTATGTAATTTTAGCCTAAGTTTAGTATTCTCCACCAGACAAATCACCCACACACCCATGCCCATGCCCACCCACACACACCACACCACCACATCAGAGCCTAGCAACGACTCTCCATATCCACATCATTTCTTTAGCATATAGCGCATAAACGTAATTCTAATTCACGCAAATGATTTCAAAACAAAGCCCCCCCCCCTCTATACATTAAGAAAAACTGTTGATAAAATACAAAACAAACGCAATGCAAATGATAAACGAAAGAACGATGAAAGTAACAGCGCAACCTATGAAACCTATGAAACAAAACTGCAAAAAAGAGAACGAACACGATATAAATTTATAGCAAGTAAAAATCCGAAGCAACAAAGTTACGATTATGAGATGAGGTTTAACAAAATTCAAAACAATACCTAAGCAATGAACAAGAACAGAACATTTTGCTCCTAGAAGCACTCACCGCAAAATTAACCAATACATAAACATAATTACAAATAAATTTGAGAAAAAAAAAAATAATATTGATGGTGAAACTTTTTCCGAGACTGTTTCCAGGACAGAATACTGCTGGGTTGGAAGAAAAGGAATCGATTGTAATGGCAATATATCATAGAGGAACGATCTATCTTCAAAGTATTTCTGGACTGGACCACCTCTACGCTGGCCATGCACACCTTTGCTTGACTTATTTAATTCGTTCCTTGGAAAAAACTGAATGAAAGGTGCAGAAATCATTTATGGCAAACTGGATTAGCCAAAAGACTTTGATGCACTTACTTCTAGAATTGTTTTGGTTTTTATAATTTTATAGAATTCTTTTTGTTGTTTTATTAAGGAGAAAAAAATACAACTTTGTTTTGTTCGGATGGTTGTAACTTTACTTTACGAAGTACTCGTATTCAGTCCATTTCTAAATGTTAGAAATTCTCTAACTAAGCAAAAGGGAAGTAGGACTAAGCCCTGATATCCTTGTAGTGCTTATCCGCATCGCTCTTGTCCAGCTTGATTGAGTACTGGCCGATGAGGGAGCCCTGAACGTTGGCCTGACCGTCGGGATTGAAACGGGGTCCATCGCCAATATCCTCCATCTCGTCCTTGAGCACCCTGTAGCCATTCTGGTCGGCGATATAGTGAACTGTGCGCTTCACGAATCCATCCTGATAGCTGTACGAGCCACGGACCGTGGATCCATCGCGCTCCTCTGTCCGGGTATTCTGGTTATCGTTGATTTGATCGTCGATGTTGGAATTGAAGGAGTACTGTGCATTTTCGTTCTGCTCGCGCTCAAGAGCAAGTCTGTCCTCCTCATCCTGATCAATCTGAAATCGGAGAGAAATATGTTGCATTAATTAACCTGATCGAGGTGAGACGCGCACACGCCCCCTTTTTTTCCAATTAAAAATATTCATGTGTGTCGAGAGAGTATACTTTGATTTAAATAAAATATGAATCTTATATCAAGGTGAAGATCTCATCATTTCTGTTCGGTCTGTCAGACCTCTGGATTTACCCTTCCTTTTCACATATGTACTACATATGTACATTTGTATAACATCATGGGGGAGTTTCAATACTGACAAATGACCCAATGAACCTTGCTAACTATTGACTATATAGACATCTGTCGGATGCGGTTGGTTACATGATAATTCCTAGCCAAGATTTGCTAGAAACTTTTCGATGCATTAGTTGGGATATAGTTGGAATCGTGCAAACCTGTGCTCGACTGCTCCAAGTATGACTCAAGAGCCGAAGCGACACATTTGTTTTGACACATTTACTTCTCCTACCCTAAGTGTATTCAATTTATCTTATGTTTGAATGCATGAACGGAAATAGTAATTGAAATATGTGATGTGTCGATGTATTCCAGTTATCTGCTCGGTTGGGTTGGGGTCTTGTCGGTTGGCTAAATGCTCTGCCAGCTCTGTGCATACATGTATGGGAAAAAAAAAGCTTTTCTGATCGGGATTCCTCCAGGAATATATTTGATTACTCAAATGAAGGATGTCTAAATTTTGTATTATCTATCAAACTCTGTTTAATGTTGAATGCCTAAACAAACCCGCATCCTTTACAGCCTTTTTCCATATTCTAGATTGCCTTCTACATCTACATTTCGTGTGCCCTTCACGTAGCGTCTACAGCTACCGGTTAAACCGATCCTAGCTATATGTAAATTCAAAGTCAAAATGATAAGTGTTCGCTGCTTTTGCTGCTGTTGTTTTTGTTGTTGTTGTTCGGGTGGAATATTTTTCCTTTTCTTTGTTTTAGTATCACGCGTCAAGGCAAGGTGGGGAAGTAGTCTTAATAATAAAAAAAAAACTGAAAAAAAAGAGAAAAAAACTAACGAAAATAAGCTGAAAACTTGTTCGGGCAGATCGGGCGAATCGAAACTGTTGTGTCGGCGGCATATAAAGCCCGACGAGCGGCAGTCGATGTTGACTATAGTAACGAAGCGGACGTTCAACTGTACTGTAAAATACCACAACTATTATAATCATGGGTAGGTTATGAAAGCGAATGATGCCTGCCTGCCTGCCTGCCAAATGCGGAACCATAAAGAATTCGGCTTTCATTTACATTCACATTTACATTTGCAGTTCGACTGTGCTTTCTATCGCTCCTGATTGCTGCCTGTGTGGTGGCAACACTGGCTGCCAGCGGTAAGTAAAGCTTTCTCGGCGTAAAGCTTTCGTGGAGCTAACATTTCAACCCCCAACCTCCCCAACAGATTGCCCTTCCTCGACCAAAGTCCAGAACTGTACGCCGAAGTGCCTGCACGACAGCGAGTGCAGTGCCATCGGTGGCAAGTGCTGCCCAAATTTGTGCAACGGTCGCAGCTGTGTCCAGCCCAACCAGCTGGGCAACTCTGGTGGAGACAAGTCGCCCTTTGGCAGCAAGAACAGTAAGTGTTACGTTACCCTCATGCACATCATAGATATCCTTGCAGAAGGCAATGAAATTTACAGAAATCCTTGGACCCTATATAGTGTCAGCTCAGGCATCCGATGCTATATGTGTCCCGTCCCGTCTGTCTGTCTTTACGTCTGTTTCTGGTCAAATTAGTTTCTTTATTAGGAAGATAATTCTTCGAAATATGGCAAACATTGCAGAAATTGCTAGTTTTTGTGAAAAGATAGTCCAAAAATCCATTACAGATAATGTCTTGCTATATCCTCTCCAAAAACCAATGTTCTTTGGTAGTGGGAAAAACTGGTTTCACTTTGTAGATAAACCGATCAACCCTCACAGAGCTACATTTTAGTATGTATCTACCGATTCCTGGCTAATATATTTATCTCTAGCTGCCATAGCATGAATCGATCTAGAGCTTTGGGGCCTAAACATAGCCTTCTTTAATAATTTGGATTGATTGATGATTGTTCTTGTGTTTAATTCCTAGCTGGATCTACGGGCAGCTATTGCGGCAATGTCAAGTGCAGCAGCTTCGAGAAATGCGATATGGATCGCAGCACCAAACGTCCCAAGTGCGTGCGCTCTTGAGAACCCGAGCCCCCGCCACCCAACCAATTTAACCACTAAAACACCAACAGCAACGCGATTAAATTAATTTTGTTGTCACTAAATTGCGATTTTTTCTTTTGTGTTTTCTTTGTTCAATGGAGTTTTCTCTTTTTGTTTTGTTTAACACTCACGGGTGCGGATAGAGCAACGGTGGCCAGCAGGCTGGCGATCAACACGAATTTGAACATTTCGATTGGGTTGATGAACTACTACTCTTCACTGGACTGGATGTGTTCGTTGTGTTGGCGCTGCAAGTGACTTTGTACTATGGATCGTTGGCTGGCTGGTAGCCGGGCTTTTATATCACACTTGAGACCGAACCGGGCCAAAAGCAGCAGCAGCAGCACCACCAGCACAAGCAGCAGCACCAGCTCCAGCAGCAGCACCAGCAGCTGCGTCAGCGTCGATGTTGCTGCCTTTTCCCCTGCTGCCACTTCTCCAATTTTGGCTTTGGCTTTGCCTGTTTACATATTTGACAAGCCAAAGATCTTCCCCCCTACACCAGATCGGCCCGAAACTTTGGATCTGTGCGAGCATTTGTGGTTGCTGTTGTTGGGGGAAAACTCACAAAATTTCAAATGTAATTTTGCAATCGTTTAAGGGGTCTCCGCAGTGGCCTGAAGCTCTGAGCTGCAATTCGGTTTGCATGGTGTAGATGGGGCCGCCCTGAAGAAGATTGAATGGGAATCGGAGCATTGCGTAAGATCCATGCACGATGCGATGTGTGGTGTGGTGTGGTGCGGTGCGATCCGGACTGGGTCCCATCCCGGCTTCAAGGTCAGTCAAGTCAACCAGTTTTTGTGTCGGCCAGTTCCAAAAGGTGCACTTACCCTGCCACTACACATTCTGTTTCATCTTCTTCTGCATCTGCTTCTCGTGCCAGCGATCTTTTTTCTGTAGTCTCGTTTGTTTTTTTTTTCTTGGTGTTTATTTTGTTTGGCCAACTTATGTAATTTATGTGAAGTTTTGTGCAAATTGAAAGCCTCGATGGTGTGTTGTGTTTGTGTGTTTATTTCTCTTTCTTTTGCTTACGAGGAAGTAAGTGGAGCATTACGTTGCGTCTGGGGGCAGGGCACCCTTTGGTTAAGGCAACGCCATAACCACTCACCAACAGCTGGGACTCTGCCCAGAGTTTGGGACTGGAGCCTGCAATGGGGACCGACTTGAACTGCAATTTTCGACTTTACCCCAATCAAAAGCGATCTACAGTGGGGCGAACTGTGGGGCAGGATGTTGGGATATCTTGATAGCAGACTTGGATAAAGCAGATACAATTATTCGGGGAAACATGGCAAAAATGACAGAAGAAATATTCAAGGTACACATTTCGTTTGCAAATTAAAAAGAAAAATTTATTTATTTAATGCTAATGCTTCCTTGATTTTTATTTAAACCAGAATTTTTGAATGCACAATAAACTGAAATTACTGAAATTTATGAAGCTTAAATTATACTTGACTGTGTTCATCTTTAATGTATTTAATTTTTAATTTTAGCTTTACCCTTGCCAAAAGGTTAAACCATATTTAAGTTGCACTTTCAAAGGCAAACCAATTGAGAGCTCTGAGTACTCTGTTGACCTGCCCAAAAAGCTTACAGACATTTTATCACGTATCACACAGACCATAAGCTAAGTTCTACCAATGGTAACTATCGATTTGGGCATGCCTAACCCGATTCTGTCCCACTGTCCCAGTGGCTGGTTTATTTGCTGTACATCCGTTCGTTCCACTTTCGATTCGTTTCCCCATCCAGAGCTACCACGGATTCCCTCCATTCACCCACCTGCCGATCACCTGTACCACCGCCTCTGCCCCTTTCACTCTTGGCTTTCTATGAATCGTATGGCATGGAGTCATATGTATGGGTAGTACTGTGGATGTAATAACAGTTTAGTAAACTTATTTCGCTTTTATTTGTGTTATTTCAACGCCGCAACGTAGCAGTGGCACGAATTACGTTTGATAATATCCAGGCGTCTCTCAGTGATGGAAGGCAGGGGGGTTTTTTTTTGGGTTGATGTTATACTCTACCAGAGAGTGCATGATACTAATGGTAAGCTCTAATAGGACTTGTCCCTTATGAGACATAAACAAAGCAAACTTTACAGTTTATATTTCTTTCCTCCTTTCAATGCTTTTCTCTGCTTTGAAAGGGTATTCAAACTTCGTCTGCCCTTAAAGACTGGGGGGTCTTTCTTGTTGCGTTTTGCTTATGTTTTGCTTGAAATTGAAATCAATGTAAAAAGCTCAAGGTGAGAGACCGCATCAACTCGATGTAGTCTTCGTCTCCACACACGCAACGCCCCATCATCGTTGGCTTGGTTTTCCGATAATTTTATAATTATACTTTGTTGCCTTAATGATGGCCAATGATGGCAGAGTGACAGTCAGAGAGAGAGAGAGAGAGAGGTAGGTAGTGGCCCAAGGAGTAGCGGAGGGGGCAGGAAGCTCCAAACATTTGTTTACGACTCTATTTGGACTCTCCGTCCGCCCTTCCATCCACTGTCTTCACAAATTAGCACGCTCCTATCACCATCACCATCACCATCTCCTGCTTCCACTCCCTCTCTTCCGGCAATCATTTGCATGTTAACACCCAGAGTCGGAGAGTGGGAGTGGGAGTGGGAGAGAGGGACGACTCTCTTGGGCGTTACATTGACAAATTGCTTTGGAGCGCTCTCTTTTATCGCCCGCTCTTATGCAAATGTGATTTTTATTTTGTTTTGTGCTCGTATTTTTTGGGCCTGCCTGCTGTGGGTTGGCCGGCTCTTGGATTTAGCTCAGGGCTATGGCAATTTGACATTTTCAATCAAAATTTGTTAATTATTTATTGGATTGGAGACAATGATGATGACCCAGCCATACAAATGATGTCTTTGAGGGCGAGTCGCGTTTGCCTTTGGCCGGTATTTTGTCTTCTTCTCTATGGGTGATTCAATGACCTTTCGATTTGCATTTCGAGCATAATGGATCGATACGCATAGTGGGAATTATGTTAATCATACGAATAATTGATCAAAGATCCATCAATTGATCGGATTATGTGATTTCGTTTCCAATTTGTTTTGTTACCATTTTTATTTGGATGCAGATCTTAAGCGGAGATGCTGGAGTACTAAAGCTAACGGTAAGGATATGTACACTTTGTATAGAATTATTTTTGATGTTTATTAATGGTGCACGTACTTACTGTTTAAATTTTAAAGTCAATTGATGCTAATTCGCTTCTGGAGCCGGCGACATCTTCAATGAATCACTTATATTCATCTTGAAATAAATCCGATTTATAAACCAACGCATAAATTTCCCAACTTTAAGAGCCTGTCCTCGCACTTGGCACCAGACACTGTACATATGTATGTATATATACATACATATATCTATATATGTATCCGCACACATTTCAAGGACAACTTGGCAAAAGTAAACCGCAAAAAGTATACTTATGCATACATATATGTATGTAGTATACATACTTATATTTGACAGCTGACATTTAGAAGAGCGGAGTATAAGAAGCTTGAGGGAGGTCGTCGTCGTCGTCGTCGCCGGGTGCGTGTGCGTGTGCTCGAGAGGAATGCAATAAAAGAAAATGTGCGAAAAAAAAATGACAGAAAGAGCAGCCAGCAGAGGCTCGAATTATGCATGGAGACACACACATTTGCATACAAATAAACGAACGCAAAGCACCAATGTAAGTAAGGTATATTAATTAGAGGGTTAGGCAATTTTGGCAATACTCTCCAAACAACAGAGTATACTAGAGCTATGCAAATTTGGATAAAATATTATATTTTAATAGTTTCTGGTTTCATACCCTCTGAATAACATACCTTGGAGTGCAGGAGCGCAAGGTGCTTGGCAAAGAGAGCTTAAGAACGGGACAGAGTGCACGCACATAGTAAATATTTTCACAAGCACTTCCTTCTACACAAACAAACAGACAAACAAACATACGCCTGTGCTTGTAAATATAAAACTGTAAATGCAATACCTACATAAATACATACAGACCTACATATGTATGTACATACATATAAAGAAATTGGAACTTATGGAAGCTTCCAGATATCTCAAGGCAGGTTTGACGAGTTGTGGGTTCATTTCGTTTTTTTTTATTTTTTTGTTTGCAAAAGAAATTATTTGTAAAACGAGTTTAAGTTAATATAAATAGATTACAAAAATTCATTTGGCCACTCGAGCTGTACAAAAATATATATGTATGTATGTATGTATGTCGTGCATTAAAATTTTTTAAGCACTGTAGAAAAAATTAATGCTTCTTAATTGTTTCAACTTTGTTTCCACTTTAAATCGGGAATCACTTGCAGGAGTAAAAAAAAAAAACAAGTTGTTCTCTCGTCTCTTTTAAGCTCGGTAAATGTTTCATGGTCTCACGTCCCGACTTTAGTCAACGTTAATTGCATTATTCACAGCATTTTATTTAGCTTGAGCTCTTTTTTGGTTGAAATTTTTTACTCGACCTACCTCAAGGCTTACAAAGCACTTAGCACAGTCCCCTAGAAGGCTGTAGAGCGGCGCCAGAGGCACCGACATACATTTGCAAGAGCGCGAAAGGAGCAACCGAAGGGAGAGCAAAGTTGATAGCGATACTGAGAGAATGTGATACGGTGCAGGGGAGAAGCAATACAAAGTAATTATCAACAAGAGACAAACAATGCCAGAACCAGGATTATGGTGTTTAGTTTCTATTGGCACCCCAGGAAGGGGATTATGATTGGGCCTGCATAAGTCTGGGTTAATTAAGTTGAATGACAGTCCACCTAAAAGTGATCCTTTGGCAGTTTACTTTGGCAATTATGTTGAATTCTTGCATACCAAAAAATAATTCTTTTGTTTGGGTATAATTAAACCTGATGGAATTTATTGATAACTAATACTCCATGCATCGCTCCTCGTTTACATCTTTAGAGAGAGAGGGCGTTCAATGCACTGAACGCATGGACTAGCTTTTGTTACTAGCACCAGCTAGCGTACCCGCCGAGCCTCTCTATTTATCATCCACTGCCTCTTCCACTGGCGCTTTGGCTGGTTCGAATTAAGTAGCTTTCGCTCTTAATCAATTACTCTTAAATTTAATAGTTAAGTTATTTATATCATTAATTGATATAGGTAGTTCCCTAACCGGTTGCATTCTTAAAATTATTAGCAAACAACGAAATGGTCTCAAAGTTGTCCACATAAATGCACAAAGTTTGCTTTGGAAAATTTATGAGCTTATATTACTCTTTACCAATTCAACTGTAGTTATTC